TATGACGGTAACTGCAAACGTGCACTAACAGCACGCCAAATTAGCATATACTTTGTAAAGCTCTGTAAAATAAAAAAAAGTTGATCATTTGATAAAAAGGCCATCACCTGATATCACTTATTTGTAAAGCTAGTTGATATCATTGGTTTGTAGATATTGCTATCCCATGATGCAAATTACCGATATATTAGGTGATAACGGTGAACGTTCAGCAAATTCGTCTCCTGATGCAACAGGGAAATGTCCAGATTGACACTAGGTTTCAGTTGAAGCAGTCATGATACATACGTTCAATTTAACAGGCATTCATTATTGTGAAACTTCAGAAAAATATCTCCCTCAATTTTAATTTGCAATGAATATCGTCTTCATACATGTAACACTATTTGCTATATTAATAGCACACATGCTTGCGTTAAAAAACACAATAAATGCTATTTTTGGTAAATGTACATTTCTAATGAAACAAATACGGTATGTAATGCACTTAAACATTCAAACAAATAGCAATTCATTTATTGGATAATATTGATGGTTGGGAAATACAATTTTATGAAACAATAATCAAATGGGTAAATTAGCTAATTAATATGCATATATACCGAGTAATTAAAACTGGTCAAATCCATGATACGTCTTGTATTAGACTTTGTTTTTGATGACAGCACTGTAGCATAATGAAAAGAAATATAACAACCCTATGAAACCAGTTTTAATGCACCTTATCTTGCAGATACGTAGAACACACTTTCAATATACATTGTACATGTACAATAAATTATTAAATTTTTACTGATTTGGTTTACAGTACATGCTATTTTTTTTATAGAAATCTGTAAGCAGTGTCTTGCCTAAAATTCAAAATATCACTGAAAATGATGGGCTAATCTGCACTGGCTCGGAAGGTTGTAAATGATTAGCTAGTTTGAATTTGCATAACAATACTGACAATGAACGTGCATTCAAGGCCACAAGTTTTTTTGTTTTTTTAGCCAATCAGAATTCATCTTCCGAGCCAGTGCAGATCAGCCGAAAATGATGGCATTAAAGAAAAGTTGGTGAAAAGATGGTTAAAATTTGTGTGACGGTTATGCAAAGTATCTTGTTGCCATAGTGATAATGTGATCAATATTAATGTACAGTTGCCATAGCGATACTAGAGTGTGATATATTTATTGATGTAGAGTGCACAGTCGCCATAGTGATAGTGTGATCTATTGATCAACAGTGCACAGTTGATCTAGGTAAACAAGGCTGACATGCATTTGTATTTAGTCTTTACTCTCTCCTGGCATTGGAGGATGATCCAATACTTTATCTACAAGTCCAAATTCTTCAGCCTCAATTGGATTCATGAATTTATCCCGCTCCATTGCTGCAGCTACAAAATAAACAAGACATTGTGAATGCATAGTGCGTTACTTATTTAAATAATGACCACTGATTGGACTGGCAATGTGTGTAGAGTTTTGAAATCGTACACAAAAGTACAAAAGAATGACTATGAGTCAGCGTTTAAATGGCCGCTTATCAGTCA